TAAGTATTTTTGAAAGATCCTAGTAACGCCAGTTTCGAACTCTCATAAAATTTGAGCAATAATAATATGATGGGTACTATATCGGCAACTGCTGGTAGTAACCAGACATCACCCCGTCAAAAGTGAATAAATTCAAACTTAGAACAGTATTTAATAATAGTTTTTTGAAATTTAACAGTTTTGAAAAATCGTAAGAACGTTATATCGAATTGAATAAAAAGGCGTCGAGCAATCATTTTTAGAGTCCACATGTAAACTTTTTGAGAGTAATTTAACAGCACCTTATTACAGCGTTGAGAAATTATAATAATTTGAGCAGTCAAATTTTGAGGCAATACAAACTCTGAGTACTCGGAGAGCACCCCACTATTGGACTGGTAATTTCAAATTTTGAAGTTACTTTGAAAAAAAAACGAGAAAAAATGAAAAAACGTCATTTTTCGGATAGTAAAATGATTTCAGTAGTCAAATTTGATGGACAGATTTGTAACCCTGATACTACGCTGGCGCGACCAAGCTATAGGGTTGTGCAATTTTGTAGAGATTAAATTTTCAAGCCCACGGGAAACCTTGACAATATTCCCCAATTGGGTCGCTGATTATAAAAAATTGGTAAAATAAAGACCGAATTCAAACTGGAAAAATGAATGAATTTCTGAAAGATTGCAATATACGATATAGTTTAAACGTGAAAAAACTCTTTCGCTAAACATTGCAAAAACTATACGTAGAAAAAACTTCACATGGCGAGATCAAGACGCCCGCATTTACATATATACACAGAGGCGCAATTGCGCTTCGCAAACAAAGCGAGGAACATGCAAGAAAGAGCTCTACGCAGGTAAAACAAAGTGAAATAAGAAAAAGATTTAAAATACACCTTGAAAAAACATTTTATTGAGATTAGAGTATCACGTTCTCACATCTTCTCCTCGACCGCTTGTAACTCTTCTTACACTAGCCACCAATAAAGCAGCTACAGTTTCTATCAAATTGCCAATGTTATGTATCGAACAAAACAATAAAACTATTTTAATGTTTCGGAATTGTAAATCCGACCTGTTGATTAGGAGTCTCACGTCCTCGCATCTGCACCAAGGTCGCTTGAAGTAAACTAGTGGCCCAGATGATGCTGTATCTAACTGTTCTAACATATATTGTACTGATACGAAAATGAGTAATTTTCAAAAATTCTACAAAGTGGACGTTACGCTAAACCCTATTGTTTCTCTGCTTAAGTAGGGGACTAAACGCTTTTTTAAAGGAGAAGACTTCTACTCGCTCTTCCAATTGAAGTCTTTTTCTCAGATTTGGTTGGAACGTTTTAAAAAAAAACATAGACAACTAACAGTTGGAAAAGAGTAATGAACGCAAGGAAACTAATTAAAAAAAACAGACTTGTTTTCTTTAATGTTGATTTGTTGAGTTTCGAAGAAAAAAATATGTGGTCTTATAGCTCTTTGGATTTAAAGGGCATTTTTTGAGCTTGAGCACTTTTTAATTGAAATTAACCCAATTTGAGATCAATAGGTAAAAATTTTTTTTCGCTGGGAAATCTGATAATTAATTTCCATTTTCGAAATTAGAAGTCGATCACGTTTTTCCAAAAGACGGGCAAAACTTCAAAAACTGGAAATTTTCTACAGCCATATTTTTTTTCAAAACGAAGGCCACAGCTGTTTGCGCAGGTAAGATTCGCAAACCTGATTTTTTTTGTTAAACTCTCAATCTCAGATTTGCCAGGGTAGTTTTTGAGAAAAGTCAAAGGTTTAAAACTTGACCGAAATGTCAAAAAAATGGGCTTATTTGAGCCATATCTTTTTTTTCTACCAAATTTTGCGCATAGTCACTTGAGAAGGGGAGATACCAATTAATTGTTCTTTGATTGCAACCTTCATCTCAGATTTGTGCATTTAAAACTTGAGAAATGAAAAAAAAATTCAAAACAGCCAATCGAAGATTGGAAAAGAGTAATAAATGCAAGTAAACAAAAAAAAAAAAACTTTCTTGAAAAAATCTCATCTTTCACATTCAACAGAAAAAAATAGATCCCCTTTAAGCTCTTTGAATTTCTAGAACGATTTGAGATGGGCGCTTTTTTGATAACATGAACCCAACTAGAGAAAATTGGATCAATAGGCAAAGTTTTTATTCCGCAGGAAATTTAAAAATTAAATTCAACTTTCGGAACTAGAAATTGTTCACGTTTTTTCGCGCCATTTCCACGTTCGTATTTGAAGAGTGCTATTTACGTCACTTTCAGCAGATGAATTTCAATTGAACTCAAAAAGTGAATATATAAACTAGAAATCGATCACGTTTTTCTTGAACTTTAAACTTTTACTGTTTAATAGTAGAGTTTACCTTTCTTTTAAGCATTGCAAATCACTGAAATTGAAAAGAAATCACAAGTCAAACCGCGAAAAACCAAAACTGAGCGTGAAAAAATTTTAAGATTGTTTCCTGAAAAAAACAGCAAATCAACAAGACCCATATAAGTCTTCACTACGTTCATTCCTCTTAATACGTTTAACGACTCTTAAAAACTACAAGCAGAGTATTAAAATAAGAAAATCTTCGTTGCTTAGCGCCCAATTCTCCAGAGAAAAGTATTCAATTTTGCGATCTAGTTGCCCTGGAAAAAATCGGAAACTAAGCTGACACAACTTAAGCCGGGAGAAACGAGGTCGTAAAGTCGCAGGAAAAAAAATTAAAATTAGAATTAAATTTTTTGTCTACCGCAAAAGAACTATTAAAGGATCCACAGAAGAAATAAATAACAGACTGTTGAACAGAAATATCCGGACTCACGCGTACAGCTAATATGACGCCACGTGCTGAAACCTGTGAACAAGTATATACAGAAGATGTCTAGTGTCCGATTACAACAAACTTAATAGTGTAATTAGGACGGATTCTTTATACAGATCCGAAGCAGAGCTTCGCACGATTTGCGATACAACAGAATCATTTTAAAGCATAAGTCGAAAAAATTGAAACATGTTGAGAAAAGTAGGTGAACCAAAATTTTCGCATGTCTCGACGAAGGACACATATGGCCCAGCTACAGCTGAAGGTACGTGTTTGATATTTTTTGTTTTTTCAAAGTGATCCTGGACGAAATGCTTAATTTCAAATATTGGATTTTGCCAAAAATCTAAGTTGTTTCTCTACTAAATAAATGAGAAGAGTTGATATCTTTGAGATTTTGGAATTTTCTCAGAGATACAAATTTTCTCTTACAAAAAAACTAAGGAGCAACCGCATCAGTAGCAAAATTCGCCCAACCGCTTTTTTCGATCGAATTTTTCCTCTCAGATTTGTTAGGGTAGTTTTTAGGACAATTCAAAAAAATCTTAAAAACGGTCGAAGTTCAAATACTCAAATTTCCGAATTCCGCAAACTTTTTCTGCGAAAATCAGGCCGTGACCGGTAAAAAAGAGGAGATTCTCGAAATCTGGTGCCACGATTGAACACTTAACCTGAGAATTTCTCAAAAATCAATTTCTCAAAGAGTAGTCAAAAATCAAATTTCAAAAAAACGGTCGAAAGTTCGAAAATTTTATTGGTTTGAAGGCCATAACTTTTTTTAAAAACTGGGCGTAGTAAATTTTAAAGGTAAGCTGAATCGATTAAACCTATGATATCAGATTTGACAGGATAGTTAACGAGAAAAGTAAAAAAAAATTCAACAAATCAGAAATTTGGCATCTCCGAGAATCATAGCTTTTTGTTTAAGAAAGTGGGCGTAATCATTGATCCAGAAGCAATTCTCCCGTACTGTAACTTCGTTCGAGAGCCCACCTTTTGACCGTTTTTTGAAATTTTTTTGATTTATGATTCGACTCGAAAATTACCGTGGAATTTCTCAGGTTAATTTTCAAGAAATGTAAAAAATTTTCAAAACCTGGTCAAAAATCAAAACTTTTGTCCGAGCCATAAATTTCCAACAACCAATTTTTGGGATAGAACTCAAAATCTCAGATATGCAAGTATAGTTTTAAGTAAAATTCTTTTAAAATTTAGAAAAAAACTCAAAAAAATGACTTTTCCGTGCATGATAATTTTTGTGTTCAAGTATAAGAGGCCGCTAAAAAAGCGAGGTTCTCATTCCCCGTTATCTCCATTGAACCCACAACCTTAGATTTGGGAGGTTAGTTTCCGAGAAATGAGAAAAAATTGTCAAAAAAAATTGTCAAAAAAAAAATCAAAAACTTGAATATTCCCAGAGCCATAATTCAATGTCAAAAAAACTTGGTCTGAGCCAATTACTGAGGGAAGTGCAACAAAATTTCTAAAGCGCAGAACAAAACGAAAAACATATATCGCATATTTTTCATTCCCATATATTTTCATTATGTTGTTTTTTCAAATCAGACATATAAGCTTGGCTAGTGTTAGAAGATTAAATTGAAATATACCAAATGAGCACTTTTATTTAGGTTAGAAAAAAAATTCTTCGTTATCATAGAACACCTTCGCTTGTGTAAATAGAATAAAAATTATAGAAAAAAAAGCTTTGCTTGTGTAAATAGAACAGTTGTATTACAAACAAAAAAATTGTACTGAACCTAAACTCGACTCAGCGTTCACTATATTGGAATGGTTACATTCCTATATCATCCTACTTCAAATAATCATATGACTGAATATCATAGCTATACAAGTCTTACTATAAAAAGCTAATTCGTTAGGATATTTTTCAAAATCCACGCCAATGAACTGCCCACAATTACAAAAAAACTGTTGTCGGAACCAGTGATTCAAATATCTTTGTTCCGAAATCTAAAATTGACTTTATATAGTCAACGCTACGCAATGCTCCCAAAAAGGCCCTGAAATTTCTAACATTGCAAAAAAAACGCAAACGGTACAACTGATCGATCGATTCCTATTAAATTTTTTGCTCAGACTTTGAGCTAATCTCAAGAAAAACTGATCGTCTACCAGCTATTGGATAACTATAAAAAGGCTGTTTTTATAAAGAAAGATTAATTTAAATTTGTAATTATTGAAATGACAAAAGGATAAGATAAAAATTATTATTACAAATAGAATAAGAATTCATATTTCTCTGAGCCTACCGGGTATAATAAATAGCCATGATTGTAATTTGAGCGTTCCAATTAATCTAAAGAAAATAGAGCACACTAAAAGATTGAAACACCTGACTTTAAGCACTTTTCGTTCAATGATTTACTCATCTTATCCATTTCGTTCTAAATCTGGGCGGTGGTTAGTTTCAACAGTCTTTTGAAGTAATTATCAATTTTCTCTTAACCTACAAGAAGACATAGAAACAAAAAAGCAGTTTTAAATATTGCACCGGATTGAAAAACAGCGCCTCATATGGTGAAGAAATCTTGGACAAAGCGAAGCAATTTCGTGTCTCTGATTGTAGGATTTCTGCTTAGGTGCTACCAATTGTCTAATTCTAATTCTGATCAGTCTGCGATTCGGTTGCTCAATAGATCTGCCCACTTTTCTGCATCTTTCGAGTGCTGCACTAGTAGAAAGTATTCTCTGTTCGTGAGTTGCATCTAAAATCAAACAGCAAAAAAATCATCAAAAATGCATATTGGGTGTCGAAAAATTGGAATCCGGATATATTTGGTTTTCTACTCCCTTCATAGATTTTCATACAATTTTCTCGAGTAGATGTGTGAAGCTCAATTTGAAGAAAATATGTCGTGAAACAAAAACTAGTGTTAAATTCGTGTTGAATAAAAAGCATACAATAGTTAAGCGGACGACCATTGAGCCGAAAAAAAGGTTTAATAGATTATAGATATTCATACGTTTGCCTCAAGTAAATGAGTAACGACGATGATGACGAATTTGAGGATAACATTTCTAGAGAAATGTCCTATATTAAATTGGTATTGAGTAAATGAGCAAACTTTCCACGCCCCCCTTTCAATTTCAGTTCTTTGAAAACTACTCACGTTGTGATAAATCAAAGAAACTTGGCAGGATGATCAAACTACCATTTGTGAACATATTTGATCGTAATTCTTTACATCGTAAGTCACAAGGTTGGCCATAATAACACGTAAAACAACTATAAAGACAGAAAATTTAACAGGTGGGGAAAGCATAACAGGTGGGGAAAGACAACAAAATAGAGCCAACCGAAACCTTTAATTAACGTGTTGATTTCATAATAAAGAGGCGACGCTGCGCTTTGCAAACATTAGCAAAACAACAGCAGCTCTATGAAAAGATACAGAAGAAAAAGAAATAAGCCTCGAATTAGTAAAAATTCTGCAACGTGTCGAATTCCAACCAGCAACCTAGAGAACAAAAGTCTCACGCCCTAACATGGGAGTAATTTCTTATTTTCAAATAAACTTAAACTGCGTAAGATAACATTTGAAAAAAAATTTTTTCTCATCGAAGCTATTACTGACTCAGGTAAAATATCAATGATTTCACTTTTTTCCGTTTTGAAGGCTAGCAATTTAATCGATATAATCCGTTTCAAGGTCAAATATCTCTTGGTGAGCTTTTTGCTTGGTAAAGTTTGAAACTGGCAGATTCCCAACAGGTACTTTAACGCAAATTTCGACTGTTTTGGATGTTTCTTTCATGCTGCAACACTTACGCAATCTAATTTAACGCAAAACTCATTTTAACTTAATCTCGGATGGTGCAAATCAGTTAACTTGCTAAAAAGTCACCTAAAATTGTCAAATATCTTACAAGAGGCTTTCAAACAAGCCAAAGACCAATTAATTCGAGCAATTGACGATCTACGCGCAAAACAAGCATGGAGTATCGAGGGCGCTGATATCGAACAATACAGAAAGTCTAACAGCGGTAATGCACGGTTTCCAGAAAAATGGAAATAGTTAATTTTCGGGACAAGATTGTTCCCGATGGAATTCGGAATTGAAAACAATCTTGCCTGGTGGCATAAGAAATGGCTGATGTACACACCCTGGCTACCCGCATAATTATCATTGGTTAAGCCTATCTTTGAGAGACAAAGCTGAAAAGTCAGGGCCGATGACTCCATCTAAACTCTACTTGCCAGGAAGCGAAGTTAAAGAATCCAAAAGATTGTAAGTGATGCGATGAAAACTGAAAATGTCAATCCAATGTATTTTCGATCCCCGAAGGAAATTCATTCTCATCGGACGATGACAGAACTGTGGTGCCAAAAGACGAGTGGTCAAACAATTTTCTTTTCGGCATTCTCCAATTCGACCCTCTTTCATCTGCAGCGCTCTCTTCATTTTCTACTACGTTTTCTCACCTCACAAAGAGTGCTTAGTAACCCTTGAAATGATGAAGCTAAAGATGCCAATGAGCTCCCAATGCTATGCAGCAAAAAAGCCACCATACGTATATACTACTAGTGCTAAGTGCGGCATTGAACCTCCAAAAGCATTTGGCAAAGATACCACCAAAAGTGGCGCTAATTCTTGCAACTTAGATGCAAAGAACTAAAGCTCGTAAGTGTAAAGAACCAGATAGAGTAAAGAGCCACCAAAAAATTTGTTCAATTAAGCTCGTAGCCTACAATTTTTTTTTTCCATTTGGCTCTTACCCTAATCATAGCGTATCCGTCAAAGTGGTTGGGCAGCACTATGTCGAACTTCTTGGGCAGTTGTATTGAGACATCTAGAATACTGTTCATCGGGATCTCCTTGTACTTGCCCACTCCTCCAAAACTCCCATCCGAATGAGGCTCGGCGAAACGCAATACATTCCTGCCTGGGAAGTACTCAACCAGCTGCTTCTTCCACTGACGCAAATGTCTCGTCTGTTTATACATGGTCACCTAAACCACAAATATTCAGTCAAATTAATCTGAAGCGTGAGCTTTGCAGTTCGATACTGGAGTTAGCCCTCTCTTCAACAAAAGAAATAAACATAAAAAAATCAAAAGGTAAACCGCGAAAAGTCAGCTTTGAGGGTAAACAAATTTGAGATGTTTTCTTTAAAAATGAATGAAAAAAAAAATTACACAACCTATGTAAGTGACAATCACTTCGTTCTTTTACACAAAAAAGAAAATTTTATATTCTTTGTAGTCAGAACATCACATCTAGAAGGTTATTTAAAATATCCCTGATCACCCAAAATCTCTCGCCCTTAAATTTTTGGTGACCAACTTGAAAGTTTCTAAAGATGCCCGAACTATACCTTCCAAAAAATGCTCAAAATGACATTTTTGCAGTTTTTCTTATAAACTTAGCCTGGGGAGCTAACCCTCCAGTTCCAGAAAAAAAATTGATTGACAAGGATATTAATTAAATAACAAGTTCACATTTGCGATGAACGCCCAGGCATAACGTTCAACCTGAATCTATTTTGCGCAATAGCTTCAGTAAAACTTGCCATGATTGAACTTTATCAGAAAAGTTTGCTTGAGAAAACTTTTCTCTAAAATCGTCACTACTGTAATTAGACAGCAGTCTTGAAAGGAATCAAATATTCTTTTCAATATTCGCTTATTCACTGCAAGTTGAAGAGACACATCTGATACTATCACCATGCATATTGAATTCCTATACTTTTACCTCGTAATCTGATAAATCACACTAACTTTCTCTGATAGAACTCGTTTGTTGTGGTACTTGGACATGGTATCATTCTTCCCACTCCTCCCTCCCCCTTCTGAACTGCTTCTCATTGCGTTAGACGATTGTGATTGCTCATTTGACGCTGTCAGAGTACCCTCATCTCTCGCAGCAGCCGAGTTGCTGTCACTGCTTCCCATTCCAGTATCGATAGCTCCATTCAGAGCACTAGTGATGAGAATTTCCACTGCAGGTGCTGCACTGCTCGAGCTCTTTTGGTTTGAGTAGCTAAATACAAAATAAATTTGATACACTAATTGGGATCTACAGCGCTGATCCAAATTATCCGAACAAAGTGAGCAAAATTTGAAACTTCAAACGCTTTCTTCTCAGATTGGGTTAAGGTTAAACAAAAATTGAAGAGAACGAAAGTTGCGTACAAATTCACCAGAATTATCATGATGCAAAATTCGAAGCCAAAATTTTACCAAAAATGGGCAACTTTGGCTTTGTTTATCAAAAATTACGCTATAACTACCAAATTATTTGGCGAGAAAGTTATATGTAAAAAAGCTTTTTACTCAGCCCAACAAAACTAGAGCCCAGCTAAAGCTGAAAAAAAAACCTGTTTAATAATTTTTAGATTTTTTGTACTGATGCTTCAAAATCTGTTAATTTCATTACTTACTTGCTCATTAGATTTGGGTGGGTACTTAAACTTTTTGTGTAAGAAAATTTAGGCATAATCATTTATCCAGCGGAGTGTCCCACAACCCGTTCTACTCGTTGAAACCAAAATTCATTGAAACCAGATTTGGGAGGGTAGAGAAAACGGTCAAAAAATCGGAAATTTGTTATTTCCGAGAGTCATAATATTTTATGTGAAATAATTTGGACGTAACCGGTTCTGCAGGGAAGCTCCCCACAACCCGTCTTTTCGATTAAAACTAAAACCTCAGATTTGCGAGGGTAGATTTTAAGAAAAAGTAAAAAAAAAAAAAAAATAGGAAACACTTTTCGAAGGCTGTAGAAAGTGGGGTAGGATAAAAGAAACTAGGGGAGTATGCAGACATACTGGGCGGACTTTCCATTGGTACCACCTTTGAAAATCCGTAGAGTAGTTTTTTAAAACAAAAATAAATTTTTGAAAAAAGTGAAAAATTTTTCCGAAGCATCTCAAAAAAAATAATTAAAAAAAACCCGATCCTATACATTTTCATAATATTCGTTTTCAAACGGAAACTTTCAAAAATCTATGTAAATAAATATACTTTTGGTTGATAGCCAAAAACATGTCCACCGACACTTGAAAAGAGTAAAGAACACAAGGAAACAGAAAAAAAACTGACTGCTTTTTAAAACAGACAATTGACAAATGGACAAGAGTAATGCACGCAAGGAAACAAAAAAAACTGATTTATGTTTCAAAAAAAAACTTCAACTTTGGAACTTTGAAGAATAAATTGTATGCCCTTAAGGCTCTGTGGATTTCACAAACATTTTATGTATAGATAAAATGAACCCAATTTGAGAAAACTGGATCAATAGGTAAAATGTGTATTTCGCTGAGAAACCTGATAATTAAACTCCATTTTCAAGATTAGAAGGCGCTCACATTTTTCGTGACCTTTACTTTGCTGTTCGATAGTGGAGTTTGCCTTCCTTTTAACAATGGAAATGCACTGAACTTAAAAAGAAATCACAAGTCAAACCGCGGAAAATCAAAACTGAGCGTGAACAAATTTAGACTTTTTCCTGCAAAAAAATAAAAAAAGTTACCAAGACCTATATAAGAGTAATCACTACGTTCATTACTCTTAAAAATTCATTTTTCGGCTCTTTTTCCTTTTCCCCCACCTGCAATTTTTTACTAGTAAAGTTACTCTTCGCATTGTCCGATGATTATGAATACTGACATGCGGACTAATTAGGATGTGCCAAACACATTTGGTCTTCATATTTAACCTTGTAAAACCACTCGTTGCACCATAAAATTGATGGTCGTGGGAGGTGGGGGGAAAAGGAAAAAGAGCCATTTTATGGTCTAACGAGTGGTTTTACAAGGTTAATTATGAAGACCAAATATGCTTGTTATGGCCTAATTACTCTGCATGTCAGTTTCACGACAATCGGACAAAGTGAACAGTAACTTCAAATATACAAATTTGCAGGTGGGGGGAAAAGGAAAAAGAGCCCATTTTTCTATAAAAAAATCTTTTTGCACAATTTTTTGAGATTTTACCCAAGAACCTTGTTGGGATGAGTAAAAGGCTCTTTTTGATATAACTTTTTCAGCCATTAACGAAGTAGTTTTAGTGTAATTCTTGATTAACTAGAAAAAGCAAAAACTATCCATTTTTGAGGTAAAATCTTGGTTACGAATTTCGCAAAATAAATTGCATCATGATAATTCAGATGAATTTGTACGCAACTTTTGTTCACTTCCCTTTTTGTTTACTATGAACCCAATCTGAGAAAAACGTGTTCCAATTCGTTACAAACAACGCGTTACAAACAAATGAGTTTCAAGGAAAAATATGATTCTAGTCACTAAAACATAATCTATGGGTGCGGCTTTTCTTAAATATGCTGTTACAGTTTTCAGAATATTTCGCATGATATTTATGCTATAATAGACTAGACAGAGGATAGCGAATATAATACTAACGAGAAAGAGGGTGACTTGACCATTGCGGATGTGGTTGCATTGATGCTCTCCTTCTTGCGTCTGCAGGGTCGCGACCATTGGGACTGACAGGATTTGTGCAGCATCACTTCACATATCACACACGCCACTCCTAAACACGGAATCGAAATCAAACGTTTCGGTCGTACCTAAACCAAGCTGCCTCTTTACAATGTTGTCCACTTATGAGGATAAAAACATGGTCTGAAAACATCATACTGGGTAAAACTGTGCAGCCATGATTGCTCGAGTGACTTTCTACTATCAGTGAATTTGAGGCAGTTAGTATAGTTGTAAAACGTCCACGTTAGTCTACCACAGCCTGACAGATTTCGGCTGCAATAGTGGCATCAGGTGAAAGTTCTGGACGCAATAAAACGACCTTGAGTCGCAAAAGAGAGCATCGCTCAAAAAAATAACTCAGTCAGAAATGTGGAGAAATAAGAGAAACGGACTACGCTCAGACAGGCTGGTTAACTTTTCATAGACACTGTGCGAATAGCAGAAACCACAATTATACATTAATGCTATATTTAATGCATGCAGCCACCAGTAAATGTCAAGTTTGAATTGCGAGTCCATGCTTATTGGAGAGTCAATGGTGAAAATAAAGAACGCGAAAGATGATTTTCTCAAATCGCTGGGTTGCGCTTCATTCGCCGATCATGTTAAGGAAAAAGCAAACTGATTCCATGTGATAACTGATAACGGCTCTTGTTATTATAGTCTTCGAAAACTTACAGTATTCGCTTTCAGCAAAATTTTTTAAAATAGAAGTATGTTGGCAAAAATGCTGGTGTTGAGTCGCTTAGATTACTGTAATGCAAGTTTACCAGATTACTTAGTGAAAAAATTACAAAAAGTTCAAAAGAGTGCCTGTCGATTTGTCTTCGGTTTGGAAAAAGAAACGAGCATCACGCCTTATTTACATGATTTGCATTGGTTCAATTTTAAAGTTTAATCTATTATAGATAAATGTCTTATCAGTCCACGTATCATTCCTTGATATCTCAATGATAATTTTCTTCAACCCGCTATAGTCGGAGATCCAAGACAATTATAAAACCGTTAGTAAACAGTAACTATGGAAAGTGAACATCAGATTCACTGCAGCACATCATTAGAACAGTTTGCCCAGAGAAAATGAATAATCAAATGAGAAAAAAGTTCGAAATGTCTGAAGACGCAATTGTTCAAAAAGTACTTCTATGAAAATCGTTTCAGTTGAAAAATGATAAAATGAAAGAATCTAGAAAATTAGGAATCCGCAAATTGAATAAAACCTTGCGAGCGCAAAATTTTCAACTGGAAACCACGTTCCGCCCCAAGCAACGCCTCATTTTGAACAAAATTGATGACAGAATTGAGTATGCCGGACTGGTCCCATGTAAACGGAATTTCTTTACCAAAATCCGTAACAAGGATTTGTACTGGCGAAACACTCGCGACAATCTGCAGCGATTAAGTTCTCAGCGATCTTGAGAAGGTACAGGTGAGAACGTCCTACTCATGGGTGGCACAAACAATTTATTCGACCGTGCAGGCCATTAGATCATGGGCGAGGTAGCAGCTGAGATTGAACAGGCTGTTTTAAAGCTACAAGATTGGAATTTGAATATTGATGTTATGTCCTTTTGTCGTGACTTTGAAAATTCGCTAATTAGGATAGTCAACAATTTCTACCGGAATCTGACAAGATGGCATGGGATCCTGTTTTTCAGAACCGTAAAGTTAAGTTAACGGAAGCATGTTTGCGTTGACGCACTTCATCCTACTGCGAATGGCGTGCGCGAGCTAGCGAAGGATTTCTTTGATGATATCAGGAAGATTGAAAACATTATTAAAACACTATGGCTGTGTAAAGAAGACACAGACGGCGCAGAGGAAATTCCCAGCTCCTTTTAGAGTGGGTACGTTGCTTTTAATAACCAGCTGAATTTACAGCGGGAAACCACTGACGACTTATGTGAAACTGACTGTATTTTTAACAGGACTGAACTGCAAACATCTTTGAATACAAGAAATTGGCGTTAAGATAACATTTGTGATGATGATGATGAAGGCTACAAGATCTTTTGATAGTTTAGTAAAGAGATACACAATTCCAAATTTAACGGGGAAAATTTAATTTGCTTACAAGCATATCCGATGAACCAAGTGCTTGCCGGTTTATGCTGTTGATTACATTGACAACGTCTGTTTTATCTGAATCCCGAATACTATTCGGTTTGATTACCAACAAGACATTTAGTTTAAATGAGTTTCTCATACCAGTTAGGGCAGTGGTGGATATCCTCTGTTTGCACAACTCGCAGTGCTCTGAGTTGGACTGGATAGGAGAAGTAAACTGGTGAGTGAGATGGGAAGCTGATTGGTTGTTGCCAGAAGACGCGTTCTGATTGGCCGAGGCGGATGAGAGACTGTGTCTTTGATTGACCAGAATGGCGAGCGACTTGTAGGCAAGATCCTTCAGCAGATTATCCACACTCACAAGTTTAGCCAAGTTGGGAGATCCGTTCTGAAGAATAAAAACATACTTATATTTGAGTGAAAACAAACTTTATGACTTTTCAATTTCTCTACAATACTTGGATCAATTACTTCTCAAAAAACACTGCCTAATCAATTGACGCATCATTTTGTACAATGACACTGTTCAATGGCACTATTCTGACATTTGGAATTATGTGCTTACAAACTGCAGTTTCTTCTGTGGGCATCGACTTCTGTAGTAGTGGTTGATAGTCTGATTGGGGTCGATGATCTGAAACAAAAGTGTGGTTGTTCTGAAAGTGTGGTTCCAAAGCGCAGCGTCGAAGAATTTTGGACTCGGTAAGTTTTCTTAAGAAGAATCAGAACTCTCAAAAAACGTCAGATAAATTTTTGTGCGATATCCCATAATTCAGTTGTGACAAAAACTGCAGTTCAAAATTTCTTAGAAATTTCTCAAGCGTCAGAACTTAAGAATAATCAGAACTCTCAAAAAATGTCAGATAAATTTTCGTGCGATATCCCATATTTCTGCTGTTTAAGTGTCTAAAAAATTTTCCAGCGTCAAGAAAAAAAAAATAAAATACTTTATCTTATATCAGATGCTATGACGGTATATTAGGTAAATATAAAGTCAATTTTTGATACGCTAACGCCTACTCGATCTACTTCACAATACAAAATCAAAAATAGAGTCTCCTGGAATTTTCTATTCAAATTATACATACCCCGTTGTCAATGGCTCGTTTCAAGAACAGAGAAACTTCATCTTGCAGGTTCACAGCAGACACGGAAGCATTGATCAAACTCTGCTGGTTCTCTGGAGTCCCCAGCTGTGGGTCCACCAGCGAACCAGTCATGAAGTTCTTCTGCTCCGGCTGATGGGGATTGGGTTCGAGGTCCAGTTCGTAGAGGTTGGCGTCAGTCAATGACTCCGGCAGGTAGAAGGACCACAATTCCAAAGCAGCTACTGACCAGTTAAGATAGAGGCATCCGGGGTTGGACACAAACTAGAAGCATGATGCAAGAAAACGTCAACAAGGCATTTTTACGCCGCTTTTAACCATGCTAATAATATCCGCAAAAACAATCTTCAAGTAAATTTTAATCGGCTTTCTGAACAGTTTTTTTTTCATAAGAAAAATATCACTTTGCAAGAAATTTTGAAGTTTATTTGACGATGGCTTCAAACAAGAACGCATTTGCATAAGATGCAAAAGTCGGTATATCTAAATCTGATAATTCACACAAAACAGAAAGAAACCAAATGGATCACCATATAATGAATCAATGGTTTTTTTTTCCATTTTCCGATAATTCGTTTTACAATTTTTCTAAACTTTTTCCGAACATTGACAGCAAAGGATTGGAAATTATCAATGAACACAAAGAAACCAAAAAATATTGATTTTCCTGAACATTGATTTTTTCTCCAATTTCAAACGTGAAATCCACTTCAAGCTGCAATTCAATCACGTTTTCTTTCTCTCAATTTGTGCTTGATACTTGATGGTTCAAAATACCTTGAGTAAATAAAAAAAACAAGATTTTAAAACGGATGCTGATGTATTTTTTTAAACTTTGATGCTAATGAGGGTATGAAACTTGATCTAGTAACTCGATTAACAATTCTCCTCTTGAATTTTAAAATCAGTAATCAGTAATATATTCACCCATTCTTAAAGCGGTTCAACACACTACAAACTGACCTCCATAAACACCAATACCCCCCCCCCCCCCATAAAGTCAACTAGTTCAGCAGGAAATGTAACGCACTGCATGCAGATGCAGAAAGCATGCTTCTACGCTGAAGACAGAAACGCATGTTTGAGGAATCTATTTATTAACATTGCTTCTCTAGACAAAGGTTATGTAAACATCAACCCTAGTTATACATCCAACTGTAGTGCAGCTGCATTTCAAGTTGAAGTACATATTGAACTGGGACTTCTTCAAGAAACTCTAAAGAATTAACTCGAAAGACCACAAAGGATTCATTTTCTTTCAAACATGAAATTTTGTTATTAAATTTATAGATCATTGCCTTGATCATCATCTGGATTTATCTAGAATACGATGAATCCAATAGTGATTCTTTTCTGAGGAATTTGAAACAGAGAAAACGGACTGAGGGTCAAGCAATAGAGTATCTTTGAAGTCCAAAATGGCTCACTTCGAACGCCAAAGAGAAGTTCGCGATGCAAGGCAGTTCAAACAATTACATAAGTTCAAATAAAACATCAAAGATTGATTCGATTCATCTTCATTTATATGGTAAAACCGATGATTGCACTAAGCGACCAAGGTAGGGATGCAAACACAATAACTCGAGGGATTATTAAACAATACACAGAGGCAAAGCTGCACTTCGCAAACGCAAGCAAGAAAAGCTCTAACAGGGTCAGGTCAAAAAGAGAAAAAAGGAAAGAAAGTAAAATATATAAAAGTTCTGCCTTGTGCCGGAATCAAGTTTACACTCTGGAGATTAAAAACCACACGCCCTATCATCTGCGCTTAACAAAAGAAAAACATTAGAAACGCAGCTAATTAAACAAAAATGTTGTGATGCAAAAGGTAATGCGAATAATTCAAAAAGTGTCTAAATGTCAAAAAACGACGTTTACCAAGATCATAGCTGATTACTATCAAAAAAAGGGAGATCATGCTTTTGCAGGGGAAATTGCATCTCCGTTTGATTTTTTTTTTCAAAATTGGCATGGTCGTTTCTGAGAATTGAAAAAATCCAAAAGCGGGAAAAAATTCGAAACATGGAGTTTTCCTAAATTCAGCATTGCTTTTATACAAGAACTAAAACACAATCACTAAAAAGACAAATTCCCAAGCGTTTGTTCTTTCGATTAAACCCTTTATCTCAGATTTAGCAAGGTAGTTCTCGGCAACAGCCTCCGAAAATGGTCTGAATTTCACAAGTCCAAAACTAATTTTCTACGAAAAAAGGGGCGTAGTTGCTTATGCAGAGAGAAAAATCCTAGTCCTTGTTTCTCCGATAAAAATTTTTCCTCTCAGATTTGGCAGGTAATTTTTTGAGTAGAGTAAAAAAACCTTCAAAAACGAGCAAAATTTTAAAAATTGTACTTTTTTCAAGGCTATAACTTTTTTCATAAAAAACTTAGGGCGAGACCAGCTGGATAGCGAATTTTCACGAAATATGGTCTTTCGATCAAACCCTTGATCTTACATTTAGCAGAGTAGTTTTAGTGAAAGGAAGAAATTTTCAAAAAAAAACGGCCAAGATTTCAAAATTCGGACATTTTCTAAGGCCAAACTCATTTTCTATCAAAAATAGGGGACAGCAGCTTATGCAGGAGAGATATCCAGTACAAGCTCTTTTAATTGAACCCTTAATCTCAGAAAATGAAAATAATCCAAAAAAAGGGGGCCAAATAATCCCCCGAGCCGGATCAAATCAATAAAAAACAACCACAGGTGAAATATGTTTTTAATTTGAGCTCAAGACGTTAATTTTCAGGCAGTATGCAAAGCTCCTTAAAAACGGTAGTTCAAAAGCCAACATTTGTCTCGAAGAAACCACATCGATAACAAATATTTTGCTAGTTTCTTCGGAATAATCAAAACTCAAATCGACAGAAATTGAATTTGAACGAAAATGCTTTTCTTCAAGGAACTTTTTCTGCAAAAAACAAGGCCTTAAGAAACGATTTAACTCAAGTGCAATTTTTACCGCTATTTGCACACTTTTAATGGAGTACGCAAACTGTTCTATACTTGTTACACAGAGTGGCGAAGCTGACTTCGCCAACATGCAAAATGAACGACAAAACGAGAAAGTACAAGAAAATAAACGGAAATATGCCTTGAAGTAAAATCGACTTTTCGCATGATAATCGATCGGCACGCATGACAAGACTTCTATGATACTTACACGAATATGCTTTGGACTATCCTCGAAAAGCTATAGCGAGCAGTGAAACACATTAATCAGTTATAAGCAAAGAACTCGGTGTCAAATCAAAGATTAACTCATTCAGCTTTTTTATATTCCCCGCAAGCATACATAAGGCAAAGAGGGTGCTAGGGATTTTAGCAGACCGGTTTTTTAGCAGACCGGTTTTTAGCAGACCGGTTTTTAGCAGACTCAGAACAATTATAAACTGTGATAGCTAACTTCAAACGCGGCATTGGCAACTAGCCTGAAACTATGTTATTTATTATGAATCTATGGCCATTTTAAATCCTAATCCAACTGATCTAACCACGTGATCACTTGTATCCAACTTTCATTTATAAAAGTATGTCAACTCAACTTTAAACAGCACAGTCTCTTCGTAGCTAGGGTAGGCTTTTGTGTGCCATATGGCCCCGTTGTCTATCCTCTCCGAGTCTCATTTTAAAAATTACTAATAACGATGAATTGCTAAATTTATGTTATACGTGACCGGAGAAATTTATTCTTTCGGTAATAGCTAAGAAAATAAAATTAAGGAAAAAGCGATGATTTCCTTCCTCAAGTCCCCACTGCTTGAACAATTAGACAACCAGAAAATGAAGATGTTGTTGGTAGCATTAATTCACTGACCCCTGTGAAGTCTTTGTATGTCGAGCAGGAGTAGTTGATGAAGTGAGGACTGGCGTTGTGCATGGTGTTAAGGAACCTCCACAGGGACTCCCTGCCTTCCTGCACAGCCGTCGCGTCATTCTCAAACAACGCCGCCTAGAACACAACACAGGATAGTTGGATCACAACAAGTTTTATGTAAGATTCGTTAAGAGAGACGAAAAAAAGAAAATGACTAGGAAGAGAAAAGTCAGAAAAACTAAAAAGTTCATATCAATGTTTCTCGCCAGCATGAGAACTTTTTCATTTTTCAAAAACGCAAGCGTAACACAATATATCACTCGACTCTAAAAGTCATTTATTTGTAGCATGTTTTATCATCCTCTCCCAAAAAAATAATGCTCTTTAGTTCCTCTCACCCTTTAGAAACATCCTCTCCCTGAATAGAATTAATCTAACTTCTCCGCTTCGCTATTAACATTTGTAAAATAAAAATGATTAACGCTGCGCAATTAATTTTTATGATTGGTTGAAAAATCAAAATGTGAATCAAGTTAACATCTTCAAAGCTTAACGATGGGGAAAGTTAACTTGGCCAGACTAACCTTAAATGAATTATCTTGTTCTTTTCCTCACCTGTAACTTTATCCTGTCCAGGTCACTGTTGCCGAGGAAGGTGGAGAACCTATTTGACATGTGGTGGTAGGCGATGGTCTGCAGAAAAAACGAGTTGAACTCGAATTCCGTCGGATGTTGCACTAGCGCCTGAAGCATTAATTTTGACTTCGTTTGATTCATTTGATGAAGAGTATGCTTAAAGTACGATTAGCATAGCACCAAGCCAACAGTTTGATTAAAAAATGTCAATATTACAGATATGGAACATAAACGTTCTTGAAACTATGTTTTCGCTTTCTCGAAACATAGACAAAGTACAATTGGAAAAATTTAACAAAGAGGCTAAGCTGCACTTCGCAAACATTGGCGAGAAAACTACAAAAAGCAGCTCTAAAAGAGAAATAAGAAAAATTACTAATCGGAATCCGATTCCTGGTGATTGATCATTATTCGAGACTGATTTTATAATTTTCTTATTTCTCTTTTTAGAGCTGCTTTCCAACCTCCGACCTTCAGATTTGGAGTATCCCATCTTCGCATCTGCGCCACGAACCCGAACTTCAACAAAACAGTTATAGATGCTTTAAAACTAGGAACCAGCTAAAGCGGGAAGTACTATATGATATTTTGTGCATTTGTTGTACTGATGCGGGATGAAAGTGGTAATTTCAAAAATTGAAAAATTGGGCTTCACCCAAAACCTTAGTTGGTTCTCCAATAAAATAAACAAGAGTGATCTTTTTTCAGAATTTGGAATTTTCCAAAGGACATATTATATTTCTTCCATACTCTGAAAAATTGGACATAACTTCTTATACAGGGGAGCATCTCTTAACTTTTTTTTCTATATCAAATTCTCAGATTTGAGAGGATAGTTTGTGAGAATAAAATAAAAAGTTTCAAAAAACATTCAAAAAATCGAAAATTTTTCCGAGGGCCATAAACTTTTGTGAAAGAAAATATGGGTGTAGCCGCTGATGCAGCGGAGATTGTCAAGATCCGTTCTACCCATTAAACCCAAAATCTCAAAAATGAAAGTGCAGTTTGCGAGAAAAAAATGGTCAAAAATCCCCCACGGACTTTTTTGAAGGCTGTAGAGAGTGGGGTTAGGGTTAGGGGTAAAACACAGAGATGAAGCGGAGTTTAGCGCCAGAGCACAAACATAAAAAAAAACATAAGTCGAAAAAAACTTAAGATTTTGAAAAATACTAGGGGAACCCAAATTTTCGTATGCCTCGATAAACAACATCTAGGGATAGCATAGATGTTGAGCACCAACCACTTGGTCACGCATTAACCACTCAGCCACAGATGCTTAAAAAATCACAAACACTAGCCACAAATAAAGCAGAGAACAGATGTGCCACCAAAAAAGTGAACACTTTTAATGAACACTTTTACTTGCAAGTTGAGTTGGAACAAAAGAAGGTTCTTACAAATACATTACGCTCTCAAGATCGCCGGCGCAAAAATGGATCAACGGTTAATTTTATTATTATACTAAGATCTTCACATAAAAGCAAAGCTGCACTTCGCAAATACAAGCGCAAAAACGCCAAAAATAGCTCCAAACAACGGAAACTACAGTAAAAGAAAAGAATAAGAACACACAGAAAAATATGTTGAGGATATCCAAACTCAAAAAAGAAAAAAAATACTAGTATCAAATCGTAGCACTGACTGTTGCGACAGCGCTACAACGTATTCGAAGTCTTTAATGGTTAAAAAATGATATAAAAACATAAGCAAAAATTTCGGATGTCAGGTACAAAGTGATATGTTTCTCAATTAGCAACGCATTATTCCGATCAATTAGCAGGCCTCGGTTCAATTTGAAGAAATTGAGCCGGCTGACTTTGCCGCTCGCTCACGTACTTAGGCCGCTTACGTAAAATCCCTAAATAGAGCCCTTTATGTATCCAAAACTAACCAAAGTAGTCCCAAATTTAAACCCCCTTTATTTCATAAAAAAACTATCGCAGATTAAAATATCTTTCGAGTCTGAGCTTTAGGCAACAAAATTTTCAAACTGTATAAAAAGGTTCCGTCAAACTGCAAATTGAGTAAATTCTGAACTTTATGTCAATTATTGCCGGTTAAGTATCTTATTACATGCGCTCAAGGCGTTGATATCTCCAAAAGGTTATGAAGCAGACCCTCAAAAGTTTGGATTTCGATTAACTGTACACAAAAACGTGACACTTCGGCTGGAAAAAGGACTGAATGTACAACAACACCATCCTCGCATGTGTTAAGATTGAAACCCAATTCTAAAACTAAACGCAATTCAACGCAATTCACGTTTTTTTTGGCGCCACTTGCAATTTTGTCTAAAGAGAGAACAATTTTCAAAATTTTTCTTGAAAAAAAAAACGACAGGACCTGTATAGATGAAAGCTCACTTCGATCATTGGACATTTCGGTTTATTTTTGACCAGACAAGCGGATTCTTTTTCTCATGTAGCTCAAACTTGCTACTTTGAAATTTGATCATAACAAAAATTAAAATGTTCGAAACGGTTTGATTGATATCAAATGAAGGCATACATCTGAAATGTTGTATTTAATTACTGATTAGCTCAGGTTTACAAAAATTTACCTGATTGACAGCGTCTAAGAAGAGGAGGAAAGTGGGACAGAATCCGTTGCTGGGAAAGTCGAACTGGCCCGTCTTGTACTTGAAGCGGTGACCAAAAGAGAGCCACTCCTTGTCCACCAGAGTGCAGAACCCGTCTACTGTCCTGTACTCCGGGTCCATCAGTAGCTGCGCCAGAGAAGTGACCTAAAGCAAAATAAACACATCCAACAACTCTTGAGTGTAGATCGTTGAGAAGAACCATTCAATTCTTTCAATCGATTATTGAAACTCAAAATGATGTACAAAGTCAAAATTTAACTTCACATGAATGCGAGAAAAAAAAACAGAACAATTATTCAAAACCGTTTAGCAGCTGGTTTGAAGCTATTTTGACGACCTGAAAAGAATTTACCACTATCCCTAACCGAACTATTTATCTATTTAGATTAAGCGTACTGATCATTTTGGCTAAAATTCCACAGAAATCATTTAAAGAAACTTGAGCGTCGCAATTTCCTTGCAAAATCAATGCAACCTGCGTAAAGACCCCCCCCCCCCCCCAAAAAAAAAAAAATCAGCTATTTTTCAGTTCCTAGACAACTAAAATCCATGCCCTACTTTGCATTCCCTTGGATTTACCAAAATTTTTATAGTAAAGTATGTCTAAATTCGGCTGGTTTTGAATTGAGTATTGCTCATAGATTAACTTCATAATGTTTAACTTCTGAGCTCATGATCACCTGAGCTGTCATGTCATTGTGATCCTCCAGGCACAACATGACAGACTTTCCCTGTGCCATGACAGTGACGACCTGCATAGTGACATGCAATAGCTTGGACACCTGTTGCAACCACTTGTCCACGTGTTCTTTTGGACTCTTTCCCCCTCCTGTGCCCGATTTCTCGTGGGATATCCCCATATCAACAGGGGGATCTGCACCCCCACCTCCATACTTGGACCTCTTGGGGTTGTCTGGAGGAGCGAGGGAGTTGAGCAAGTTGGTGAAAGAGTCGCGCAGCTTGCTCGAGCTCAATACTTCCACTGGCACAATCTCGGCGGCTGCTCCAATCGCCAAGAAAGGGTTTTTCTAAAACCAATAGTAATGATTCAACTACTACCAATTATTTTGAAGCAACAGGTGCTGACCGGATTCGAGCCTAAGCCCTTAGCCGTGAACTAGTTTTCGTAATCAGCAATAAAAATGATAACTGCACAAATGATTCAGTTAAACTAGTTGCTTATCGAAGAAACTCTATATTCCGATTTGATAACGCTTCTAACCGCGAAAGTCAAACCGCCAAAAAGTAAACTTGAGTCTGAACAATTTTTAAAGACTTTCCCTAAAAAAAGCGAAAAAAAAATCATAACGACCTATCCATGTGTCTACTACGTTCATCGACACTTAAAAGGACAGAAGTTATTTGTTTTTCAATGAATATCAATAAAATAAAACAATATCCAAATTTTTTTGAATTCCGTAAGATATTTTTAAAAACAAATCCAAAATTAGCTTGAAAAAAAAATGCCAAACTGCCGAATTCGAAAATTTAGCACGACCGGTTTTTACGTGTGCGACCAACTGAAAAGTTATGCATTTACATCCCTTTCCCCTAACAGCTCCCTGTAGTTTGCTGACCTTGTCTTTGACGTCTCCGACAAAGATGAAGAGACATGCAGTGTTTTTAGTGCCAAATGAGAAAGGAAGACTCGTTTGGGAGCAGATGGAAGAAGTCTCACTGCCTGGACTGAGCTCGTTATCGTAACCTAAATCCACCAAATAAGTGACCACACTATAAAATTTATTGCATAAAAATTTCATTAACGCAGTCCTATTGTCCTGATTTGTTTCGATGATTTCCTTGAAAAAAAAACAATACTTCCTTGGAAAAGTTGATTTTTCCAGAATGGAACCAATGCGTCTAACGACGGATAAAAAAGTTTATTTTTCTAGAACGAACACAATGAGTCTGACGACAAATTTTCATGTCCCATGGTCTCATCTTCAGGTTAAGTCGGTTAGATGTTGATTGCAATTGCTTGGAAACACTCAACTCGTAGTTTATGATGAAAAATTTTCCTTTCATGCTCCAAATTAGGCTCTGAGACGTTTTCAACATCTCTAAAACCAAGATATAATTTTTGGCGGGAAAAGTTCGATTGGAATAAACAAAATTTGGAGCCCACTAATACCTACAGTTTTTGTAGCCCTTACCTGAACTGGTCTGCTGCTGTCCGCCTTCGTAACTGTTAGTGTCGCCGTAGACCGGGTCAATCAGGTGATGGTTGCCGCCAAATTTGGACTTGAAAGGGCCACCTCGCTTGCTCTTTTGGACGCCTGAAATCGTTTTTAACATCATCATCAAAACAAGAAACCCTTTTGCAAGAAACCCTTCTATTATCACTTCATCAGAATTTAGTTCAATTTGGACTATGAAGATAGCAGCTGTTCGTCGATAGCTCTATGAATTGAATTCATCGTAAAGATATAACATATGTTTTCGAGAAAAATTAAGGGGCTAAAACAATGAAGCTCACGCAACTATACTACATAGCTTCGGTAAATACAGTTTCAGCATTCAGTAGTCAGGAAACAAAGCAGAACCCTAAAAAGTGATCTAAACACTATAAAGAAGTTTCGTAGTTTCTTTTTCTCCTTGTTTCTCCAATCTTCTTTTTTTCAACCCTTGTCAGCTTTTTTGCCCTCCCTGTGAGCTTGAAATCATCAAATAAGTGCTGTACAAGAGCCATAACACAGCCAATCGAAGATTGGAAAAGAGTAATGAACGCAAGTAACCATAAAAAACACTAACTTTCTTGAAAAAATCTCAACTTTCGAATTTCAAAGAAAAAAATAGATGCCCTTTAAGCTCTTTGAATTTCTAGAACGATTTATTACTGGCGCGTTTTTGATAACATTAACCCAAGTTGAGAAAACTGGATCAACAAGTAAGTTTTTATTCCGCAGGAAATCTAAAAATTAAATTCCACTTTCGAAACTAGTAATCGTTCACGAATTTTCTCGCCATTTGCACGTTCGTTTTTGGAAAATGCTATTTAAGTCACTTTCAGAAAAAGAATTTCAAAATAACTCAAAAAGTGCATATATACCTAAGTGCATCAATATTTTAAGACTTTTCCTGAAAAAAAAATCAGCAAGAACTATGTAAGAGTCTTCACTACGTTCATTACTCTTAATCAAATAATACGCTAAAATGTTACATACAGACACTTCTCAAACACTAGCGAGAACACGACAAAAAGGAACTCTGAAAAAAGCAATAAGAAAAGGTAGAAACAAGCCTCCAATTACTAAAACTTCGGCAGAGAACAGTTGCTAAGAAATTTCCAATGCTACAGATCGTGATTCTAGCAAAAGTGCCACAAAATAAGTGAAAGTGAACACTTTTATTTGCGAGCCAAGTTAGAAAAAAAGAAGGTTCGTACTAATAAACTTCGCTCGTCAGTGTAAATATCACAATGATCCGAGCACATGAGCGCTGCAAAAAATTTCAACAAAAAACAGCAAATAGATAACCAGAAAACGAGTAAAAGAAATGAAACCAAAAAAAAATTGATTCAAAATTTTTCAACATGATTCAAATTTGAAAAAAAAAAAAATATA